CATGACATTGCAATTCTGCACATAAATTATAAATGATTGCATTACGATACGCGATATATATATATAAGCAGTAACAAAATGTCACATCTCTTGTGAAGATTTTTATCGATATATTTTTTGTTTCGTCACCGGGTTGAATTAACAACGTTCAAATTCTCGCACCGCGCGACTTTCTCTTCGCGTTTCAAGGAATTATTACTTACAAATAATTCCTCGATGCTAATTAAACGAACAAAACTATCGGAATCATAAATGCTGAATTTTTATCTTCTTCTGTTATATTTTTTAGGCCGCACTTTTAATGAAAGGAAAGATACCATCCAAAGAAGATGCTAGAAAAACAATATTAGGCCTTTTGCAATCAACAGCGTTTCTCTCGTGGAGTGCTTTCTCATATTCCGCCTTTATTTGCTTCTTAAGGTTTGCATGAAAAATATCGTACATTGTATAAAGATCTGTTGAATTTGTTGAGTTTTAAGAATCAATTGCAAGTAAAAATTCTCTGCTTGATTTCATGCAATTTGTTACTTTCTATGTAATTGCTATGTACTATTTATTTGATGTAACAATGTTTTTTGATTATGCAGCACGCCTTATATATTTATTTGAAAACTATATATTTCAGACAAATACTTGGCAACTTCAATTTTCTGACTGTATCATTTCTTCCATCCTTTTTATCTAGTATAACAGCTATTGTTATAGAGAGACCATCAAGACGTCCTTTATTAAGTTTATATGTAGCTAATCTTGTGAGTAGATTAATTTCTTTTGTCAAGATGATATGAAATAACATTTTTTTTTCTTTTTACAAAGATTTACATAATTCTATAGAAGTTGTGATTCTTACACAATAACACATGTATACATAATAAATTACACTATCTTTTACTAGGCAACAGAAACACTTTTTAAAATGGGAGTAGCAAGAGGTTATTATACTCCTATTCCACAAGGTGCAACATATATTTTTGCTACAAGTATAGCACTACTACTTTATTTTTATCGTTCTAGACCAAATAAAGAACCTATGTATAAGATATTTAGGTATTTATTTATGCAATGCTTTTACCGATAGTTCCAAACAATTTTTAATTAGAAAATTTTTATTAGGATTCTTGTTGGGAAATATGAAGAGTACAATTTTGCTACAAAAAAAGACAATTTATATTGCAATACACAAACACGCTCTGATAATGAAGACAGTGCTAGTAGAAGTTCAATAGAAAATGATGTAAATAAAAGATCTTGTAAAAAAAATCTTAATATATTTATGAAATCCCTTGAAATATATAGCAAAATTATAGAAAGATTAAAACTTCAAGGAAAACATAGTTCCTGCTTACATCCTTTTAGTTGTGCTCATTACATACTAAAGGTATCTATACTAAAAATGAATAAATATTAAAGATTACATATATACAGTGAAATGTATATTATTGATTATCATTTTTATTTGTAGGGTGTGATGGAACTATTTAGTTATGCTCTAAGTGCTCAATTAGTAATTAATTTGGTCTTTGGTATTAAGAAATTATTTGCAAACCCATTGTCAATAAAATCAATGATTTTTAAAAAAAGTAATCTAAATCTACCTATATTTTTGGGTGGTTTTGCAGGAATTTATAGGGTATTGTACTTTTATTACAAAAAGTCATTCTATTTTTATATCCACTTTTATAATAATTTTCAAATTTATTTTAGCTAATATCCTGTTTGTTAAGGAGATTCTTAGAGAAAGATTCTTCTTGTCACGCAATTCCTGCTGGACTTATTAGTGGTTTAACATTTATGTTTTACAGTAGTAATACAATAGCTTTATATTTTATGTGGAAAGCTTTTCAGGTATTTTGATAAATAACTTCTTAATTCTTAAATTTAATATTTCTATTATATATTAAAATTTATACTTGCCTTTTTCATTTAGTTGTCATGGAATGATCTTGTGGAACAAAATATAGTACCTGAAATAAAGTGGTTTGTAATTTTTTTATACTGCTTTTGTACAGCAGTACTCTTCCATGTAGCAATCTTTGAACCACATCTTTTAAGGTCTTCCTATTGGAAATTTTTATACTCTATATCTGGAGGAAGGTAATAGACACAATAGACTTATAATCCATTTAAATTTTTAACATATATTATATTACACTTTTTTTCTATATAATTTCAGGATAGCAACAATGTCTCGAGTACCATTAAATGTATTTGGTTTGGAATCAACTAAACATCTTGCAGATATACTCAAAAAAACTAAAACTACTGATAAGAAAATTTTTGTTTTTTAATTGAAAAAAGAACGTATGAGGAAAGAAGGAAATGTTGATCTTTATTATTATTTGAGTAAAATATCCAATAGCACGATTCGAAATGTTTGTTTTTACGTAAAAAAATATAAAAGAAACTTCCTTTTTAAAAATATGCGTGCTATTGAGTACGCGTGTACTGAAAATCGTGGACCACTCAAGAGCGACCATGAGGTAAGGGGAATGCTTCTTGTCTGAAAAGAAAAAAATAAAAGAAACACACGTACCCATGTACCGTTCCAGTACATCAGTACTGACCGGATTGTTCAAGAATTTGTCAGAACAAGAATCTTTTTCCGCTTTACTTTTGTAGCATTATATGTTAGTTGATATTGCGTTATACACAAAAATATATGTTAGCATTCTTGCGAGAATTTCTTTCGTACTAGTATGAGCAGATATAACAGAACAAAGTACGAAGTTTTCATCCATGGATGATATTGCCGTAGGCGGAGTCATTTCTATTCCCCTTACCTCATGATACCCCTTAAATGCCCGAAATCGTATTTCAGTACGCGTGTACTTGATAAATACTCATACTGAATTTTTCCAGAAGGAAATAGAATATTCTAAAATAAATAAGCAAACGATAATTTCATAAAAAGCTGCATTTAAGATTATGAGTTTAAATATTTATTAAGGATATTTACACGTGTATAATTGTAGAAGGAGAATATCTTGACTTTGCTTACAGTGCATGTATACTCTCATCAATATGGAATAGGAAATATTCTTCTGACCTCATAATACTTCAGAAATATTCATCACATCAATATTCATGTGTGTTGATCACTATGATCAACACACATATACCGAATAAGTACAAAATCGATCTTTATTTTTGTGACTTTATTTTGCGGTTGTATAATATTACCGTTTGATATATTATATAATTGCATACCTTTAAAATATGTATTGGTAAAAAACATATTACACAATATACCAAAGAGAAACGAATACACATAATAAATTTGCAATAATTACATATAATTCTAAAATTATAGGCTCGTTAAATCATATTTGAAATCATTATTTGATAACATTACAAAAATTTGTTATGCAATAGATATTTGTTTATTCTTATTTAATACATCTGTGATGTTACTATAATATATTTAATTTATGAATTTTATACATTTGTATTGTGTGTATATATATATATATATACATAATAAGAAATGCGAAATTATTATTTTATAAATATAAGCTATTACAATGTAATGTAGATATTGTTTCATGTACAAAAATTTCTTTCCTATGTATAAAATTACATTCAATGTTTGTGATATCGAAATTTTATAAATTATTGAAAAAGTTTTTATATTGATCGTTTTAATAGAACTAGATAATTTATTTATAAACTACAAAAGAACATTGTTGAATTTTTTTCCTGTTAACATATCAATAATGAATAAAATATTTGAAATCAAAGACTATAATATTCTATTTTTGTTTTTTAACAGTTTCCAATGCTTTATTCATTATAATATTTATATTTCTTCGATTCTGTTTTCGTTTTACACGTTTCTTTTTTCTCAGAACATTGTTCCAATTAATTCGACCGTGTATTTTTACATTTTTCATATCTATAATTCCAGGAACGATTTCAGAATCTAAAACTGAAACATCGTATTTCTCTACTACCATGTTGAGTGGATTTATAAATTCCAGTGCATCATTTTGCCATGGAAGTAAACCAATTGGACATTCTGCCCAATTATAAGTTGCTAAAAAAAATTTTGATAATATTTCGTTAATATGTTTTGGAAAATAGAAGTAGGTACTTAAGTTTTGTATACTTACCAATTGCGAAGTTCCAATAATTATTTCGAATTTTTTGATCAGCTAAAAAACGAAGTATTTTATCTTCCACTTTATTTTGTTCATTATTTGTGTCTACCAAATATTCATTATCTTTAAGATCACTTAGGGTAAAAATCTTTTCGCACTCGATGGAATTTATATCATTTTTATCAAATGGTACCATTATAGAAACATTCATTAAATTCAACAATAACTGTTTACTTTCATTATTTATTTTTGGACTTAGTAATTCCAAAATAGGTACAATAAATTTGAGCGAAAATTCATTGATATTTAATATGAGCTTTGAAATAAATTTTATGTCAGTTAAACATGGTAGTACTGTATCTGATAAATTAAACCATAATACACATTTTAAATGTGGATAAATATGATCTACTTTCTCTTTGATTTTAAGTTCAAAAACTTTTGGTGGTAATTTTTTTTGCATTTTTTCTAAATGATATTCTAAAATTCGACCTGTACCATGTGCAATATCTAATTTCAGAAAACTATACAATATAGAACTTATCCATAAAGAAGATAATAATTTTTTTTCTTTATTTACTTTGTTATTGTTTATTAATTCAAGTAATTTTACAATTAATACTTCCATCAAATCTTTTTCACATAATAAAAATATTATATCTTTCCAAAATTCGACCATGTCTAATGGCAAAACATTTTTCTCCAATTCATTTTCAGTATTCGTACTAAAAATTGCTAACATATCTTTACTTGGTAAAAAAACTTCTGAACTGAGTAATGTATTACAGACTATATCTTTTTTACTAGGTATAGATTTTTTGTTAAGAAATCTAGATATTTCAGATAAAAGAACAATTCTTGCAGTTTCTAAGGTGTATTTTTTATCTTTTTTTATGTCATCATTGACAGCCTCTATGTAATTATCATTTTCCATATCTTTACTATTCTCTTTTAATAAAGAGATAGCATACGAACGCAGATCTTGTAACGTTTCCCTATTAACAGTATCAATTTGTTGTTTGTGTTTTTTATTATTATAATTGAAGTAGTGAATTATACGTACTTCAATTGAAGATCTGGAACATTTGACACTAGATGATATCCAGCATGAATATATAAACTTACAGAAGTCCAAAGTTCAATTAGATCATCAAAATCTTGTACTTCTTCGGTTTCTTGGATTTCCTTTACAGATTCTTCATTAATTAAATACTCTTCCATTCTTTTGGCTTCAATTGCCCAATATTGTTCCTTTAAATATATAACGTGAGAAAGATCTTTCTCTTTTAATATTGTGGTTCACATAAAAATAAACTTACATGTAGCCAAACTAGTAATATATTTATAGCTATTCTTAATACACCAATAGATGGTAATTCATATCCATGAGCAGTATCGTGTCTCAAATTCACTATCCATTCAGGAATATTAAGCTGCTTAGCTATCTGAAACAAGGACGTTTGCCTTGTGTGTCCTATGTTAGATATATGGTTTAAAAGTCTCATTATCGTAGTTGAATACATTAAACGCAAATCATTCTCATAACTGATTGGCAATTCGCCATTGTTAATTTTGAGAGTCCATTCGTGGTCTCTAGCACACACTTGCATAATTGAAAGAGTGCAATCAACGCCAACTGGTAATTTTGGTATCCTAAAACACTTTTAATTAATACTGCTTATTTCATATGTATGTTTTAATAAATGTTTCTTTAAATGGTTACCTAGCTTGCCAGACAAGCAGCATTTCATAACCTTTATTCTGTTGGTTAACATCGTTAGAATAAATCTGTTTGTACACTTGATGCCATTCTGTGCTATATAACGTGAATGTAACTTTTAATCGAACATCTTAAAATAGAAAAATCTTTGATAACTTTGATACTTACAGAGAAAACCATGGTACTTGCTTTATACCTTCGTGTCTCATGGAGAGCGCCATACTCGACACCACGTGCGATGACAAACTTCAAGTCGCTATCGCTACATTACCAATTCGTGTTAATGTGTGGGACGAATGAACATGTTAACGTATATACAGACACGAACATTCGTGTACGATGTACTTATAACTGTGGAGTAACGTCGAACGAGCTATAAACGAAATTTTACAAAATATGGCGAAAAAAGTAAAAATGGTATTAATAGATCTTAGTGGAACACTGCATATTGATAATTCAGCTATTCCAGGTGCAGTGGAAGCTTTAAACAGGTGGTATTTTTAATTTAATTTCATGAGAATTATTAATTGTTAGCAAACATTATGGCGCCTCTTACATTGCCGAGTTATTGTTTTTTTTAAATCGAATGCATTAGTTTTATATTTTAATGTTTAGGTTTAACCCTGTTATCAATGCTTTAATAAGTAAAGTAGTACAATCTAATAAAATCTAAAGTAGTACAATCTAATAAAATGTAAATTATTTTACTAAAACAGGCTCAGGAGCGCTAATATACCGCTTAAATTTGTTACAAACACAACAAAAGAATCCGGCAACTTCCTTTATAACCGATTGGCAAAACTCGGTTTTAACATTAAGAGGGAAGAAATTTTTAGTTCTTTAGCTGCGGCAAGAAAACTGATCATTTCGCGTAAATTAAATCCAATGTTATTCATCGATCCGGCGGCTAATGAAGATTTTGAAGATTTAATAAAAAATGATAAAAAGGATGCTGTAGTAATAGGCTTGGCACCAGGCAAATTCAATTATGAAGAATTAACAAGAGCATTCAGGTGTGCCTTTTAATTACCTTACACGTCGAAACTTTATGTACAAAATTTTTGCTGTACGTAATATTTTTTTTACAATGTTTATAGTATATTTGTTTTTGGAATAGATTATTCATCATTCCAGGTTACTCTTAGATGGCGCATCGTTCATAGCCATTCATAAAGCACGATATTATAAAAGACCAGATGGTTTAGCGCTGGGACCAGGCGCATTTATTGCTGGTTTGGAATATTCCGCCAATGTCAAAGCAGAAATTGTCGGAAAACCAACTGCGGAGTTCTTCAAAGCCGCTTTGGGAAATGTGTCTCCGGAAGAAGCAATTATGATTGGCGATGTAAAATTATTTTACATGATGTTTTAATTATGTTTTTTTTTTTTTTCATTTTTATTTCGCCAGATTTTCTTTAGGACGTTAAAGATGACGTAGCCGGCGCCCAAGCTATCGGTATCAAAGGATTTTTGGTACAGACTGGAAAATATCGAGACGGAGATGAGAATACAATAACACCACCGCCTACGAAAGTATGCAGCTCTTTTGTTCAAGCTGTAGAGTTTATTCTTGAAAAAGAAATATAAATAATATGACTTGGTAACAGTAAAACAGTAGTGTTATGCATATATATATTTATATAAGTTATTCTGTATTAAATTAAATATTTTATTTAAATATTAATAATTCCGTTATGGTGTGTACATGATCTGGAGTTTCACAATATATATAATTATAAAGAAACCTATAGAGCATCTTTTGTGATATGAAACATTACATTACCAAAATTTTCTTTTTTCTAATAATAATAAAAAGTGTTACAGATATTTTTTTCGACGTATTGGCCGACTAATAGCTGAAGATAAATGACTTTACAAACATTGTACGAATACCGTCTCATCGCGCAGTAGGATGTAGAAAATTGTAGAAAATTTCATCTACTATCAATATATGAATGAATTATTTTTATAAATTAGGATGAATCAACATATCTTTCACCATTCGTTTACAGAATTTTCAAGATACGAGACGATATTTCTCAAATTCTTATATCATTCTAAAAACAGAGAAAATAATCGTTGTAATTATGAATTTTTACTAATATACATAATCTTATTATTAGACAATAAATATTAGAATTATGAAATATAGAACTATAAGTTATTGCTAAAAGCAATTATACAGAAAAAAAATTTTTCGTAGTCTTTCTTAAAAGAAATAGGTGCACTGCAAGAATTTTTGTTTAGTATAAAATTTGGCACCATTTTATAATCATTTTTCTCTTTCCTGCTTCCTACTTTTTTTAAATATGAGAATTAACATTTTATTTTAAGAATGTCGTTTTGTCCCTTACTAAAAAGACAGGGTGTATAATTAGTTTTGATTTAAAGTTCTCACGTTTCAAAAGTGTAATTACAAGCGCTTTTAATACATTAATACTTCCATTAATAAATAATTATTTCTTTAATGAGGAAGGCTCAGTTATAGCTTTTATGAATACTGTATGAAATGCACATTCTGTGTCTAAAACTAATATAATAGTCCCTACAAGTGAAACTATTGAAAAACATAGTAAATCTTTATGAATTTGCAATTAAGAAAGTAACATAAAAATTCAATTATAATACGAACGGAAAAGAAAATACGTATGAATTCTTTTTTACAATGAAGCAAAATAATAAATTATCAAAAAAAATCTCGTTCAATTGTTACTGCTTAAAATACAATAAATGATCAATCTTGCGCCTAGTATTATATAAATAAACTTATGAACAGAACACTTACAAATATACAACTAAATACTAGATTCTAACAAAATATTTTCTACTATTATGCACCGCAATAGCATTAACTTACAATTCATATTATTTTCAAAAGATTATTACATCAGTTCATAATTTAAATGCCCTCTACAACTTATAATCTAAGATCAGGCACGTGTTGATTTTCTGTTGCAATAATGAGGGTCATTTTACGAAAATATATTTCAGTTGAAAAATGAATAAAATAATCAAATGTAATATGATTGATACTAGGTCTTCGCAAAAATATACATATAATGCCAATGTACAAATATAAAAATGAATCAAACTTAACTGCAAATATACAATATTTTTGGTAGCTATTCTGTTAATTAACGTCCTTAGCTCAAGAAACATTTATCACAGAGCTCTAGAAATTCCTAATAAGAATAAGGAATATAACTAAGCAATAGTAATTATTTGTTTTTATATTATTAAATAAATGTAACAAAAACTTAGCAAATAAATACTTACACTATATGTAGCATGTTAAAATGTAACAATGACATAATCTCCAGATTTATTAAAAAGTTACTTCTGCGTCAATTTGATAACACAAAAATTACATTTAGGGCCGTATCAATGAAGAATCCCCACTTTTTTTTTTTTTTAGAAAAGTCAAGCATTTATCCCAATTTAATGAAATTGGTGCAAAGGCTTCCATTTTTGATACATCTGCTTCGATTTTATGTATACAGCCCATCACCATGGTTAAGGGACGTTACTTACAATCGTATTTGTATGTACAATTTGTAGAATTCTAGTAGAGTAAATATTTTAACGTATGATTAACTACACACTTTTTGTTTTTTTTTTTTATCTATTATAGTTGTCTCCTAAGGTCAAATTCTGCCAATTATATTTTTTTAATCGACAACTATAATGAATTTATACTTTCTTCTCTCACATGAAACATCATTATATATCTGTGATAAAAATTTAATTATTGGAAGTTCCATTAAAGACAGAATTTGATCTTACTATACTGAAGACATACACTGTTATTTCCTATATTATTAATAGGAAATATTGAATCGTTAATTTGGCTGTTCAATTTTAATTTGATTAATAGTAAATTGACATTTTCCTCTTCCTTTTATAGTTTCTTTTTGGTTTTTTTAAATAACAAGGCAGATGTGTGGAGTACTGCTAATAAGTATGTATCTTTCTTCGTTTGTTGGATTAAATTGTTTGTTTAAATAAAGTAATAATTTATAAATTATAAAAAATAACTATATAGAATTAATAAAGAAAAGATTGAGAAGTATATCAAGAATATAATATTTAAAAGTACATATATAATTTCCTGGGCCATATACTTTATCCCTTACTTTTTGTGCTTAACTTTCCTTGTTCGTATTATTGAAGTGGGAAGACTATAAATGGCTGACATCAAATATTTAATACTTCGTACTAGTACAAAAAATGTATGCTTTTAGAAGCAGACTAAATTGAAATTATATTGAATTTGGCCTCAGGATATTAATATGCAAATATGAGCAATTTATATTAATACTCCAACACATTATTGCCTTTCATTCATTTAATTTTAAATATTCTATATATAACCTGGTTTTTACTCGTCTTCAGTTGCAGCATCTAATGAAACATCCACTGAAATTCGATTGAACATTTCATGAAGTGAAGGTAATGTAAGATGCCATACTCTGCAACTAGACCACATATCTTCCGTTATTCTGCAATATACTTGTTTTATATAATTATTTTTAATAAGAAAAAGTAAGTGAAAACATTTACTTACTTTATGACGGTAAAAAACCAAGCACACTTTAGAGATCTCTGTTCCGACGTACTTAGCCCTAACTATTTTACTGGCCGATAATGAAGTATTAAGTCTGCTGAACTTTTCCAAATAAAATGTCTGACCTAAAAGAAATAATAAAATAAAGATCATAAATATTTCTTACTATTAAACTAATATAATCATACATAGTATGAAAACATACGGTTCTTAAATCCATAGAAGGATCTAAAACTTGATCATTACATAACAATTCTACTTTTTCTTCGGCCAGCGAAGAATTATCAGCGTTTGAATCCGTATTTGTTCTATCTCCTGCTGGAGATCCTCCAGAAACTGTATTTCCAGCACCTGCTACCGATCCTGAATCACTTCCGGCACCAAGCACTTTATCACAAACATGTTCTGCTACTTTACGAATTTGTATAAAATCGTTTGCGATTAAGCGATCCCTTGAAAAGTACACAATAATTCGACATTACAAAAATTATTTGCTTATTTAAAAAATTATTAATTTTTTTACGTACTTTTTTAAACTTTTGACGCCAGATGTAGCATGTGGAAGAAGATAAAATGATATTTTTATGAATTGTGGGAGATTTTTATCCACAACAATATTAACTACCCACGCTGGTACAGTTTCATTTAATAGCACTCCTTCCATTTCTCCAGCAGCATCTCTAACTAACAATCTATACAAAGGTCTGCCTCCTACTTCACTAAAACATAATTGTATTTTTATTGCTACAATTGAAAATAATTAATCAAATTTTTTGCCGTTAAAGAAAATGTTTAGAATACTTTTGTACCTGAATATAACAGGTGTATGAGTTGGTACTGAGAAATACAGATTTCCTCCTCTGGTATGTATAGAACCATTACCGTCGTTACTGTTACCTTCATTTTCATCATCAACGTGTAATGGCCTCCACCAATGTTCCAATAATGCTTGCAGTAAAAGATTTCCATAATTCACTGAAAGAAAAAGAAAAAAAAAGATATGATATTGTAAGAGTAGTAAAAAAATAACATGTATCTAAAAAAATAAATATTACCTTTTTGATCCACTGCATCATTTTCTGCAAGACCAGTTTCTTTTGCAGAAACCCATGCAGAAAAACAATCATTTTCATCTTGCCCTAAATGGATGGTCAACATCTATAAAAATATATCAAACATTACTTTTACTCTTATACAATTAAAATTACAATTAAAATTACAATGTTAACGAATTATGGATTACATACCCCAGTTTTAAGATCTACACTAAACCAGTTTGGAACATACACCATTTTATTCCTTTTTTTTATTTCTTGTTCAAAATCTACTTTTCCTAAATCTTCAACTTTTCGTGCCTTTAATACATCATACAAAGCTACATTTTCTTCTGTATCTTTTGTTAAAACATGTCTTCTATCATTTAAAACGTGACAGTGCCGTATCGCTGGACCACCCAATATCTTTTGTGCAGGCTCTGTATTTCTTACATTAGGGGTTACCCCACTAGCAGAGTCACAATAATCTTCAATTCCTAATTCTTGCCAATCCTTTTGACTTATAGACTACAATAAATTTTTAAAATGTTATTTACTTTATTAACAGATGTTTTTTTTTAAACAGTGCAAAAGAATGCAATACCCAATTATTTATAGTAGATTCGCTAGTTGCTACCCAAATACTGGACTGATCAGGTGTCATGACCATTTTTAACACAGGCGCTTTTTCTTCACAAATAACTGTGTATCTTTCAGGATAACATGATAATTCAGTCATTACAACCCTTTTGTCTCTGCCTCCTGATATTACATGACTGAAAGTATCTGTTGCCTAAGGATGATTTTTCTAATTTAATACAACCATTTGTATTATTTGTATTTGTATCATTTATATTATTCACCAATTGTATTATAAGATATTAATATAGGAAGATGAATTATAATTACCAACAATGCCCAGACACCTTCCTTATGTACTCTGTAAGTTTGGATACATCTTTGTTGTCCTAATGACCAAAGTTTAATTGTTCCATCAGAACTGGCTGACAAACATTGAGTGCCATCTCTGTTTAGTACTAAAGCTTTAATATTATCCATATGACCACGAAGTTTCATTAGCTTAGTACAGTTCCTTGGGTCCCATACCCTTAAAACTTTTTCTGTACTACCACTCACTATAATTGTTCCAATCTGATTCATGGCAAGGCTATATATAGAGTCTTTATTTCCACTAAGAGATGATGCTGTAAATTATTTATATGTTATTTAAATGATTATAAATTATTTACTCATTTTATAAACTGAATTTTTACTTGTTACTGTATTGTTGCTCGCTGTAAGAGCAGTTAATGTATTCACATCCCACAGAAAAATTAATTTATCTAAACCTGCACTAGCAACTTGCTCTTTATCTTTTGCATATGCTAGAGCTTTTACATAATCCTTATGTGTCCTTAATGTAGACATGCAGAAACCTTTATGTGCATTCCATACTTTCACTGTCGTGTCAGAACTGGCCGATATTACTGTAAAACAATATTTTCTTTTTTCATTACATAAAAATACAATATATCATGCTCTTGGATATAATAAACTTTTAATATTGATTTAGAAATATAACAAAAGGTACATACAATTTTTTCCACCGCAACATAATACTATATCATTGACCCAATCTGTATGATGCTCCATTGATTGAATATATGGGTCCTTCATATTTTTGCAATTCCATATCCTTATAATGCTGTCTCTACCCGCAGAGTAAAGCCTGTGCAAAGCTGGATCATATTGCAATGAATTGACTCCAGCTCTATGTTTCTTTTCCACCTCATCTCTTATAACCATAGATACCTTTATTAAATATATAAAATAACAAAATAATTATCATTCGTACGTCAAGCATATTGAGTACGGTTTTATACACTAAGAATAGAATACTTTTTCGTAGGTTTCATTAATAAATTTCATCATTCGAGTAACATCAATCGAAAGTTTACAAACAGAAAAAATTCATTTACGATGTCATTTATGCAGCATCGCACGCTAGTTATTATGTGACTCGCAGCTTTCGAGGTTTTTATAAGAAAATTACGAAATCAATCAATAACTACATGTAACATCAAACGACAGATATAAAAAATATCATAGATCAATCGCGATTCTATTATTCCGTATATCATGTGGCTATTTTAACAGACGGGGCAACGACATTGATCAGAGAAACAGTGAAGTTATTCTCGCGAGAACTGAAAGAGTCCGGTCTGAAAGAAACTACGTTTTGAAAAGTAATGACGCATGTTCCTATTCGACAGAGGAAAGGAAATCATCATGAACAAGTACCTGCACTTTTTTTCGAGCACTTTGCCCGCCTGTCTTGTGAGCTGCCATTATACCGCGAACTGTTCTGTAACTTTGCACTTGAAAGTGATAGAGAAATACATTCAAAATGTACGAGAGGATTACGCTGTTGCACTTTCACGTTCCGATGCGTTGTAACCACGCAGTAGCTTCATCGTTGATCGCTTGGGAAACCTTACATGATCAGAAGATACGTCGATGCTCGTAAAAACAATCCAGTGCACATCACACTGAAGTCTTGAACAGCTGTCAGCCGATCAGACATAAACAGCGTTCATGATGATCGCATGGGGAAACTGACAATGTCCTAACGCCGGTATCAATACGTTCCGACGTTATACACATAACGTTACATCACGTTTCGAAGCGTCTGACAACGTTTCGACTCCATTGTTGTGATTGAATAAAGCCGGATATATCGTTCAACGTATCTCGTATCTTAACCGATACACAAGCTATCCGATCTATACGAAACTCGTCGCAGATCTTAATTCGGGGCTCTGCATGCAATCGGTTGCCGTAACGCCAAATTGAAATTAAAATTTGGATTCAGAGAATTGGTATTTCAACAACGATGCATCGGTACCCTTACGACCAATGGTCTTACAAAACGCAACTGCAAATCTAGATCATTCGCATTAACTAACCAATGAGAAATAATAAATACATCGTGTTCAGATGTATCAGCGTATATACAGCTTCCGGAAAATATTCCGATTGGTGACGTATTAATCTTGCACCAATCAAATAATTTCGACTGATTATTGAAAACTACCTTGAAGTGCAACAAACACGCTACTCTCTGCTTTTATAGGTTTGAGAACGCGTGGAAATGATTCTTAGAGATTGGCAATATCGTCTTTGAATCTTCACGTTTTAATTGAAAGCGCGAATAAGATCACATTTACCTGTAGTTTAAGAAATTTGGTAATTCGAGACGTTCTTCTGTTCTTTTTACGTCTTATTTCGCGCGAGACTCGAACGTGTTCCGAAACTCATCAAGCAAAGTGGCGAAGATATCCTTCATTAATCCTGTCCGGAAAGACAGCATCTCCGATACGCCCATGAAAGAAGCAAAGGTGTCCGTCAGTTGAATGCCGCCATTTTCCTAGTGTACGAACTTTCTGTTGATTTTAGTTGAGCAATCGGGTGCCACTGCGCATACAACGTGTCTCGGCGTGTTGTACATCCTCGGCTAACTCTGCGTTATGAATCAGTCACGGAATTTCACATCGTTGTTGAACCCGAGTTATTTACAAAATGCCCAACAAAATGCTGCGACTGCGAACGCGGCTGCTGCTGCGGCTGCAGCAGCTGCCGCGGTAAGCGCAGCGATTGCTAACGGAACGCAGCTTAACTCCAATTCCAATCCCACGACGAATAATACGAGGAAACGCGAAGCAGAAAGTATGTCCGATTATTGATATCCTTGTTGCCACATTGATTTCATTCTAGCATCGTATCACGCGACCTGGTTTCTTGTGTGCAATTTGCCTAAGGTAGGATTTCTTGTAAGAAACAGTTTGGACATCTGAAAAGGATTTACAAGTATATTTCTCTGATATATTGTTAGTTAACGTAAGAAAAAATTTGGACATCTACTTTTCTAATATATTGGTACATAACATATATAAGAAATAATGTGAACACTTATAGGAAATCTCATCTTTGGTCGTTTTGCATATTTTGATCCTATGTATGCGTTATGTTGCTTGTAGTCATTGGTTTTATGTAACATATACACCAAACTGTTTGATTTACATATAAAAAGAAGAAAACAAAATGTATAAATTATATAAAATTGAACATTGAATGTTTTGTTATAGAGTTATGAACAAATATTTAAGTAAGTAGCAACGTGTTTTTCTTTACAGTATGCAGATGACATTGTTGAATATATGTACTTTTTCATTAATTGTAATAATATCAAAAATAATTTTTCATTTCATTAAGCTTGATATTAGTGAATAATAGACTTAATAAGACCACAAAGAATTTTACTGAGAATTTTTCTGAGTTTCAATGAAAATACGTTTTTAATACTTTGCATTAGTTCCCCATGTAAAGTTACATTTCCGTTGAATAAATTTTTTATTTTTAACACTACATAAATATAAATTAAATGATAGAAAAATACATATCTATATTTACTTATTTCATATATACAATATTTGTTTATAAGCCTGTAACAAAGCATTTTCTGACAAACTTATATAAAATTTTTTTCTTCTTTTTATGTATTAATCAAGTTTGTACACTTTAGCCGTTTAAGTTCAGGATACCTTGTATGTTGTGTAGAAAATGATTTTGTTTAGATTTTAAGAATATTCATAAAAGAATTTAAATTTATTTAGAGTCAAACTTTTAAGTGTACACATTGGATGATTATATATTATATCTTTTAGATGAAGCTAAACAGGAAAAAGAGACGAAAGAGGAACGCAGGAAGAGGAGAAAAACTAGATGGAGCGGTAGTGAACATGACAAAACTTTTATACCAGGCATGCCTACAGTTCTACCAACAAACCTGACTCCTGAACAGGAGAAGGCGTATCTCTGTAAGTTTATTTTCTATATCTTAGCCATTTTTCTTTAATTACGTATTATACACACACATATATGAGCAGGATATGATTCAAGAATCATGCTTCTGCGTACAAATTTCTAAGATTTAATTTTGTAGTACAATAAAAGATGTAAGTATGTATGTATAAAAATAGTTGCCAGAGGTAATTGCCCTTTTAAGTACTTTCAACGAGTTTGGCAATAGGAATTGCCAATTTTGCTGAATGATGAATATTGAGTTATCAAATTTCTTAGACAGTCTAAATTAATCATGAAGTTCCTCTTAGTTGAAGTTTCTCATATATTTCTAAAAGACTTAATCTCATTTACATTTAATAAATCACGAGCAAAACTGTTGATATATTCTCGTAATTAACTGAAAGAGAAGTAAGAACTTATTAAAGAGAGAATTTAGAAGAATTAAACAAAATATTAAACTTAGGTGAATATTCTACACTTTTGAGACATGCTTACATTATAGAATGTATATGGTTATAGCAAATTGGCAATATCTAACTGTTGGGGTTTCCGCCCCCTCTAACCCGTTGGTTTACAGTTCAGCTGCAGATTGAGGAAATCAGCAGGAAGCTACGCACTGGAGACCTTGGAATTCCACTTAACCCAGAGGAAAGGTTTGAACGAAACTTACATACCAAAAATGACCATAACATATCTACAATACCTATCTACTGACCATTCAGCAGCCCATAAATACAGGGGCCTTATGATATGGCTCCAATACAGTTAGTGTGGGATACTGATGTCTGTTTGAAAAGATTGGGCTTGATTAAAGCCACCACGCAGGACAGAAGATGAATTTTGATAATATTGGTTTGCCCTAAACAATTTCTTTTACTAATTCATTTTTTATTAAACACTGCTACAAAACTCTTGGTTAGTAAATCTAACAGAAATAATTTGGGGCAATAATTAAAGTGACAGTATATTAGTATTAATACTTAAGTACAAAGAAAATATATGTTTTTGTTTTAAACATACTTGTTCTGTTTTGAAAATAAAAATTTTATAAATTCTTTATACTATATATCAGTAATAACATTTGACATGTAACATTTGATACAATTAGATATATAGATCAAATGATCATAGTAGCAGTGTTTAACACACAATGGGTATTCTAGTCCATATATCTCTTTAAATAGTTATATTTTTGCACATGTAGGGAAATTCAGAGGTGTTCCTATGCAGACTGCTTTATTGAAGTTAATAGGCTGTATTTATCATTATTATACGGATTATTGCGAGTTATTCAATATCGATCGATTTCTTTTAGTAGAAATAATGAAAATTTTGTGCATAGGGCACCTTAATAGACACTTTTATTAGGCTGCCGTGATTTGCACGGCATTTTATATCTGGTTAATATCGTAATGCCACAGGAACATTTATTGTTAATTAACTAAAATAGAATTTTATCTTTAATCACAACTTAATGAGAGATTTCAGGCAAATAATGAAATTCATAAAATTTTAATTGCTAATATAAGCATAATACTGTAAAGATCAATATTACGTTACTTTCAGGTACAACTTAAATAAACACACGTTAATTTTTCTAATAAATTAATTTACTCCAATAGGTTTAACTTTTCTGATTTTAGCTGGAACCATTATTTTATATCATTGTGTTTCATTAGTATTATACAATATAGTAAGATATACAAACTATTATTGACTAACCCAAAAAAATTATTTCCTAATAATCACAGGATCTATCTTAGCAGCTGACATCATACCGATTTCTGCCGTGCACAAACGCGCAGTCTTCCAGTGGTTACCTACTGAATAGACTAATAGCAATGTTACATTTAACAATTATTATTTAATTTTTTACTCTTTATTTTAACATTTTGACACTGTTGGAAAACTTCAAAAACTAATTTTTCCTTAAATCTATAAGTGCAATATTTTACAACAATTAACAATTTTATAAATAGGAATTTTTGCGTCTATTTTATTCCTTTATCAAATTTGGTTTAAAATTAACAGATACATACGTCCTTTAAACATAAGTAGCAATTAACTTTTTAAAATTTTATATTATCTTTTTTAGTACATTACCTCACCTTTAGCAAAAATGTTAGGTACATAATATTAAGAAAATGTTCATATATAATTTATATAGGAGTGTACTTAATAGATCTTTTTAATTTTTATTTCAGTTTTTTAATACAAAAACTTACATTTGGTTTATTTAAGGAAATATGTTATGTTTAGCAATACTTTCTTAATCTTTAAATTTTCCAACATGGTCAGAATTTACTTTATTTGTTAAAAAGAGAAGGAAGGAATATATGTTAAGAAAAGATTTATGACTAAAGCCTAATAACTTTGAAAATCAATTAAAATGTTATCTCAGTTTCCAACTTTCTGCTAATTAGCAGTTCTTTTCTCACTTAATCACACAATCATAGTAGGATCAGGTTGCTTGTATGCTAGTACATCTTAATATAAACTTTGTTTCTTGACAAAATTGTATTTTTTTATTTTGCAGATCTCCATCTCCAGAACCCATATATAGTAGTGATGGTAAACGGTTGAATACAAGAGAATATCGAACTAGACGTAAATTGGAGGAAGAACGTCACAATCTTATTCAGAAGATTCTCAAAATTAATCCAGAATTCAAACCTCCACCAGATTATAAGTAATTAAAAAAATATATATATTTTTTTATGCATACTTAAGATTTTGTAGGCTGCATCTAAAATACTATTTTTAGGCCACCAATAATACGAGTACATGATAAAGTAATGATTCCTCAAGAAGAACATCCAGATATTAATTTTGTAGGCCTTTTAATTGGCCCACGTGGGAATACATTGAAATGTATGTGAAAATTTAAGATATTCATACAATATATAAATTTCATGTTATGTACTACTGTTGTCTGTTTTAATATTATAGCAATGGAAAAGGAAACTGGAGCAAAAATAATAATTCGCGGTAAAGGTTCTGTGAAAGAAGGGAAAGTTGGAAGGAAAGATGGACAACCCTTACCTGGTGAAGATGAACCTTTACATGCATATATTACTGCTAACAATTTGGATGCCGTAAAAAAGGCTGTAGAAAGAGTATGTAGCATCTTCGCATATTATGATGTACATAAGCAACATAATTGTATTATTAAAATATTTTTTTCAATAGATTCATGAAATTATACGACAAGGTGTTGAAGTACCCGAAGGCCAAAACGATTTACGACGCAATCAACTTAGAGAATTGGCTTTATTAAATGGAACATTACGCGAAAATGATGGACCGCGTTGTACTAATTGTGGTGCATCTGATCATAAATCATGGCTGGTCAGTACATTGACGTTCAAAAATATTAATAATATTTTAATGTTTAGACAAATAGATTAATTCTCATTTCAACTATTACAGTGTCCAGATAAACCCAATGTAACAAATAATATAGTATGCTCGAGTTGCGGTGGAGCAGGTCATATTGCACGCGATTGTAGATCTAAGAGACCCGGGCAGGGTGGACCTGCTGCCGCAGGTATGGGAGGAATGGGACCAGGTGGAGATAAAGCCAAGATAGACGAAGAATATATGTCCCTTATGGCAGAATTGGGTGAAGGTCCACCACCTGATCGATCTAAAACCGGACAGCCACGTCAACCAAATCCAAATCCCAATTATCCTGGTCTTTTTGATAGGTAAATTCTATTTATTTCTTTTCTTTGATAGGTTGATCGCGCGCGCGCGCGTGTGTGTGTATATATATGTATAATAACCATCATTTAATTCTGTTTAGACAACAAGCACCTCGTGCTTTAATGGCGGCACCTGCACATCCACCGCCACAAATGATGCAAGGTGGTCCAATGATGCCTCCACCAGGAATGGCTCCGCCACCGTGGAGTCAAGGTGAAGTGAACAACATGAATGGAATGAACATGCAATGGCAACCTCCAGTTAGTATGCCTCCTCCGCCTGGTGTGATGCAACCACCTCCTCCACCACCTGGCTCTACATCTCAACCAAATATTCCACCACTGATGCCTTGGATGGCTGGAAATAATCAACCACCGCCACCAGGACAAATGCCACCGACACAAATTCCACCACCTGGAATGGGTATACCGCCATGGCAGCAAGGTCAACAAGGGCCAATGCGTCCACCTCCACCCGGAACTGCTCCACCACCAGGATTTCCAGGATGGCAACCGCAACAGATGGGTGGATGGCCACCAGCAGCTCCTGTTCCTCCACCACCTCAACAACAAACGCCAGCTCCTCCTGGCATAGATCTCAATACTTTACCTACATTATTGGCACAACCACCTCCACCACCGCCACCAACTAGTTAGTGCAAAGAATCATCAAATTGTTTAATCAGATCTTCTTTATTCGTACAATAGAGGGATATTATCGGTCGTGTCAGTAAATAGATTATAATATTGGACTGAAGACAGTTAATTATTATTTAGTTGGAATAATTCGCGATTTTAATTAGTTCGTTCGTCATCTATGATTTTGTTCTCTGTAAGTGGGAAAGTATGTGTTAATTAGATGAACATTTTTCAATCCATTCATTCAAGTATGTAATGTCTTAGGTTTGCGATATATTTCGGATCTTTGAATACGTATTATACTTGACGCATGAAAAATCTATTAAATTTTGGTTACCATTATCTTTCAAATTTGTTCTATGTACCTAAAGTTGTCTTACAAGTGCAAATGTAAGTGATATGCCAAACACCTTTTTATAATGTTAGTTCAAGCACTTCATAATTTCTATGTATATGTTTCTGTAAACATAATATCATACATTATGAACAAGTTTACTTGTACTTTAAGTAGTATGCATAATATGTATTATGTATACCGTAGTAACGTTGTTACTCAATACAAGTGTTATAATCAACTTTCGCTTTATTATATTATCTAGTATTAAAACGAGCATAATGCAATAAACGTTTTAAAAGCAAAATCATATTTTGCAACATTTTGTTCTTACAACATTTAATGTTGCTAAGATATTGTGACTCCTGTGAATAATTTCACATTATTTCACCAACTTCAACGAATGTAGCTTGTGATCGAATATTAGATGATATAATGAAAGATCAGAATTGTTGTTTACATAAGTCATGAAACTTGTCAGTTTTAAATGCATCTTACGTTATTTAAATGTTAGCTATAATTTCTCTAAAAAGAGATGTCTTTATTTTACTTCACGTCTTCATTGGTCACCGGAATACTGCAAACGTCCAAGCGCAATAATTTCGTATCACTGATTTACTATTTAGTAAGAAATAAATTTGTCGAGATCTTAAATTATATGAAATCTTCGCTTTATATATAAAATAATATTAGTATTGCGTGTTACGTTTAGGACACAGAATGATAGTTTGTGAAACTTTATTATAGCTTAATGTGTATGGTAATTACACAATAAAGATATATCATATTAAAATATATATATATGTATATATGTATATGTACAGGTATCTTTTTTATTTTCGAAGTAGATAAATTTATTTATTTATGGAGAAAGAATAATTTTAAAACAATTGTTGAAAATGTTTTTTTTAAATTACAATTTCATAATTGGAGGTCATCTGATTACAATTTGAAAAATCTTTGTGCATACATATTATAAAGTGGTAAATAGCAAGAGAACTGAGAATGTAATTATAAAGATGCAGTTATAAAAGTTCACAAATTAATTCTCTTAATTTTCTTTCTTTATTTTTTTTTTGCAGGTGAAAATTGGTCACTGAAATAGTAGCGCCACACAGTGGTGAGATCATGGAATTAATCATCTCACATTACATTAGGTTGAATAATTTTTAATTTCTCGTAAACTACGTTCGAAATTTGGATCAAATTTATTCGTGAGAATAATTAGAAGTGGGGATACACAATTTCGGATATTAGTTTTTATTTAATCAATTTTAGTTATCGTGATTCAAAAGACTTAAAATGTTGGAAGAAATAGCAAGCAGTTGGATGATCGGTCTGTATTCGTTTCTCGAGATTTCCCAATTTACGCCAAAGGTTCCGAATTTATGGGATAAAGAATCATTCAACGTGCAGCCTATAAATGGCACGAGAATTAAAAGGTCCGACGTGTTGCTCGGATATTTAATTATGTTTTGGGTTGTTTTGTATTTTATGTACGAAAAGTGCCTTAATGTAAGTTTCAACATTTTATTTTATACCTTTACACGTTACCGTGTTAGCGTGTCAATTAACGAACTTGTCCGTAATTTCTTTCTTTTTTTTTTTGGGCATTTATTTGCAAAGAGTGCAGATAAAGGATAACAGAGCTTAATGACTGTACATTTGATAATTTTCGTTTATTAACACAGTCGTTACTTCGACGTATGCGCATTCCATTGATGCAGAGAAACAGAATAATCAAAGCTGTATGGGAATGTGGATTTTGCTTTGGCAGTATTTGTTATCTAAAGTCACCAACCATTAAAACATTAAGCTTCTTCACTGGAGAACAGGAAGTGACACATGAGGAATTGGGTGTTATTCTACATAAAAGCTTTTACTTTCATCGGGCAGGAATAGAGATTTTATGTCACGGAGCATGGATAAAAGGCTGGGTCAATTTGTTGTTCGTGTCTTTCATCATGAACCCATACCAAGAAAAGTAAAGCAGCTTCTACCTTAACATTCAGCACATGCTTGATTATTTATATAACTTCACATATTGACGTTGCAACTTAATTTTTAAGTAAATTTCAATAATGCTGATTTTATTGTATGATCTTTTATAATTTTTTTTATAGATGGTGTACAGTAGTGAGCACTTTTCTATTCTACAAGGCAATTGATACCATTATAATAAATATTTGTAGAATCTTATTATGCGGCTCTCACAATGCTGGAAGAAAATTGTCCAAATTATTTTTTTACTTTCATTGCCTTAGCTGGTTGGTATATTAAAAATTTCATGTACTTTTAATTGTAACATATTTGTGATACATGTCTGTTTCAGGATATACTTATATGTATTATTCGTACCAAAGTTGATGTTATGGCCGGAAAATATGGAACACATAAAAGCACAGTTTGGTTTGTGGCTGTGGTTCATAGTAGAGTGCCTAGATTCTGTAATTTTGTTAAATAATTTATTTATTATTATTTATTAAATGAGATTTATTTTATTTTAACAATTTGTTTTTTAATGTCATTTTTAGGTGTGGTTTAGATTTTTAGGATGTGCAAAAGCTACGCATTGGTTAGAAATTTGTTTATTTCCCTCGCCAACACGGGAAGCGATTGAATTGGCAGGAATACAGAAACGACATAGAGAATCCTTAAAAAAGTTAGTTAACAAAACATCAAAAAGGGCTGAACTTTGGCAGACTCTGTTCTGTAAGTATTCAAATGAAATATTTATGCACTGACGTTAATTGTGATTTTTCAAATGAAACCAGGTGCTATGGCTATTAAAAAAAAAATTAAAAGAATTCGACAAGCAAAGGAAAATGATTCCATGTCAGAAGATAATTTTATAGAAGGAAAATTAATTAAAACAGAAGGAACAAAAGAGATAAATGAAGAACAAAAAGATGAGATTATAAAATATGATCAAATTGAAAATGAATAAATTATTTAGATGATTTACGAATCATCAATTACAAACTCCATTTATAAATGTTGAAAAATGTTAAAAGAAACAAAAGCATGCACAAAATCTCTTAATTTTTTAGTATAAAAATCAAATTTATTTAAGACTTTTATAGATACACACCTATTTACGTAGAAAATTCTGTTATATACTTACAAATTAAGGATGCATTTCGCAAATAACGATATCTCACTTAATACTTATGAGATTAATTAAATCTTTTAATAACGTTAGAATCGAATTTATTTTGTTTATATTTATACAATTTTCAATTTACTATGAATTTAAATTCCGGTCTTTAATGGTTATTATTATCGAATAATAATTTAATATAAATTAAATGTTTAAGAAATAATTTAAAGTGTTGTGATAATGCAACTATAGTTACTTTTACAATTTTATCATTTACTTTTTAAATATTAAGCTACAGGCACGATATGTTGACAAAGTATGCCTTAATAACGATAGTTATATTTATATTTATACTCGCCTTAATATTACTCGCTATTAATATTGCCTTCAGTCGATGTTGCGAGGTATATATATGATAATAGAGGATAATGTGATAAACGAGTTTTTTTATCTATGGTAGAAATTAAAAATTGAAGACTGTGAGATAAAGCAGCACACTTTGAAACAATAAAATTGTTATTTGGAAAACAACTTAATATTCTCAAGGCTAGTTATATTCTAAATGATATTCGATGCTTAATTTTTTTATTTAAAATATAAAGAAATACATAATTTTTTGTTCGTATATAAATGTAAATACATGAATTGCAGTAGATACTGCAAATGTAGATACTGATCCAGGAATGTAAAAAGATCATTTATAATTTTTTAATTTGATATTCAATAACTGCAACTCCTTTAATTGAAGTACAAGAAGGAATAATAGTTGTCTTTCAAATTATTTTGCTGGTAATCAGAATTATTTATATAGAAATTTAAAGAAAAAAAGATTATTATAATTATAATAGATTATGTAAAAGTTAAAAATTGAGCATATAAACTTAAATGTTATTGAAACAAACTAGAGTATCTTGTTCCTGTACGTATCTTACTAAAAAGAAAGTATTATTTAAGTGACACGTTGTTCCTAGATATATAAAGTTTTATTTCCGATCATTTTGGACTGTGTCAATAAAATATAGTACATGTATTTAGGCTGAATTGTTCCACGATGTTATACAGTTCAATTAAAAATATTATAAACGAATATTCGAATAAAATTGTATTCAATATACCGGCAGCGTTGTATGCCTTGATAATATCGTATTCCTAAAAATTGTTAAAATATTCGGTTTAGAAACTTATACATAAAATGTTGTATTATACAAATGCATAATACATTCTTTTCAACTTGACAACAATTAATAATAAAATTATTCAAGCGACCGTATTTTTATATATACCTGAAGGGAGTTTCTATTCTTTTTCCAAATATGCAAATACATGTTTGCTTTTCGATACAATTAAAAAATTATTTCCTTTTTTTTTTTTTCGTTTGCAAATGGATACTGGATAAGATGACTCAAATTGAGTGTCACATGAAATAGTTGCTAAGTACAATGGATCTTTTTATTTAAAATTTGTGGTTATTAAAAAAGACAAAATAGTATATCATTGGATTAATATAAAATCATTTTCAAACAGTCTAAGATTACAGAGAAGTAGAAGTTATAAGAACCAAGGCGTTGGTACTTTATTTACAGGACATTTTCAAGTTACACCTCAGTTTCTTAAACATAGTTAATTTTTCTATACCTTAGATTGTTTGGAAATCATTACTTATAGATTTATTAAACTTGATCTTCTGCGATATCAAAATGGTGTTACGAAAATTTTACTAAAAAAAAGTAAGAAAAAAACTAAATTTCCACATTTCTTTTATGGATAACTATTTCATTTGACACTTAACTTGAAATATCTTATACAAGCCCGATGCCTTACTGTAATGTCTCAAGCAATATTTTTTTTTTAAAAGAGAACTTATTTAAGTATAATACTAATAGTTTAAAAATTAAATTTGTCGCTATTCATTCGAGCAATGAATACATTGTTCCGTATTTAACAAATGAAAATCACGTATAAAGTGAAAGTACATAATCGATGATCAAACATTCAATCAATAGGTTGATTGATTATGCGCTACGCACAATCCGACGAGTAGAACTACATTTAATATAGCAACACTTCTCTCCCTGAATGCGTTGTGAGTCCGAGTGCTGAATATAAGGCCATTTCATGTGAATGACGACCGTTAAAAGTTCAACACACCATTTATAAAATCTCTTCCTCTATTGGAACAACATCTTCGATTTCGTGAATGAAGATAAACTGTCTGCTTAATTTACGTAGGTTTTATAATCGAGACTTATAGACACACTCACAAAATATCTTGCCATATTACTTTTATCGTGTGTGGTAATGGTTATTTATAATATTTATATTTATATATAATATATATATTATATATATACATATACATATACATATACATATATATATATATATATATATAT